AAAGCAAATAAGTATTTGGAATTGATTTAAAAGTTATACAATACTTATGTATTCAGAATTTTCTGTGTTGTGTGGTGTATTCAACATCTATATGATCACTATCAGATCTTTGAAATCATACCTTTGCCCACTTCATGGTTTATGATTCCTCTTTACTTAGAGATCCTACTGAGGAAGAATATGCCATCTTAATGACTGGATATTGTACAGATATAAAGACAAGGTAGAGGTATAAATCAAATAAACGTCTGAGATGAACACTCATCCATAATGATACTGCCAATCAAATAAAAAGACATGGAAAAGATGCAGATTCTGTAGCAATTGAGAGGAATTTAGTTTTTGATATATCTTAGGAGCCAGGACTATCAAATAGAAAGCATTTATACACTGACATGACTAAACAATTCTTCTTTATTTCTTTTTTTGTTGAAAGACCTGTCTGACCAAAAGTAAGAATGGAACATGTACGTTGCTGTGTGAGGGCCTTGATCAATTTCCTCAGTTTGCCAAACATTCTCTGGCATCGAGAGAGGGACACAGGAGATGGCTCTTAAGGAAAGATGAATATAATATCAAAGCGAGATTTTCACATGTGTGTGTAATAATAACTTAGCTCCAAGGATTACACATTTACTCAACCTCCTCCTACATCAACATTCCAAGGGAAATTATGATTGTTAGCATCGTGACTAAGTTTTAGGAGAGGAAAGGTCCCCTATTGCAGGGTTGCATCCTAATGAGTCAAGCAGAAATTTTGTGTCTTATTTTCAGTGAAGCTCTGAAGAGTTCATTCTTACGGAATAACTCCTGAGTAAGAGGGGGGACATCATGATACCTTTCACAGGAGCATCTACTACACTTCCTTAACACATTAGTTGAGGGACTACATATTTTGTCTTCCACATAAGAATTCTATGCAAGCTGGTATTGTGTCAGTGTAGTGCCCTTTGGGCTGTTTCTAGGAAATACTAGGTGTTTAATATCCATTATTAAGCTATTTACAATCTGGATAGTTAGTTATTGCACATGGTTGTACCACATGTAAAATGAGATAGTACCTCACCTGTTGATAAGTATCTCACAGTTCACAGAACTGTGAGATTCAAAATGAGACAACCCAACGAATGGCTTTTTTAATTTAATTTTTTTTTCATCATGGTAAGTATACTCTTAATCCCTGTCACTATTTCACCCATCCCCCACCCACCTGACCTCTACTAACCATCAGCTTGTTGTCTTTAGTTCAAGAGTCTGTTTCTTAGTTATCATATGGTTTTACTCATATGTGGAACATAAGGAATAGTACAGAGGACCGTAGGGGAAGCGAGGGAAAACTAAATGGCAAGAAATCAGAGAGGGAGACAAACCATGAGAGACTCTGGACTCTGGGAACCAAACTGAGGGTTACAGAAGGGAGGGGTTAGGGGCATGGGGTAACCGGCTGATGGGTATCAAGGAGGGCACGTGGGGTGATGAGCACTGGGTGTTATACACAACTAATGAATCGTTGAACACTACACCAAAAACTTGGTGTACTATATGTTGGCCAATTGAACATAATAAAAAATAATAAATAAATAGTCTTCCCTGGTTTTTCTCTCTTTTTTTCTTTGCTTATTTGTTTTGTTTCTTAAATACCACATACAAGTGAAACATGGTATTTGTTTTTCTTTGACTGACTTATTTTCCTTAGCAGTATACTCTCTAGCTCCACCCGTGTTGTTGCAAATGGCAAGATTTCATTTTTTATGGCTGAATAATATTCATTGTAAGTATATACCATATCTTCTTTAACCATTCTTCTATTGATGGACACTTGGGCTTGCTTCCATAGTTTGGATATTGTAAATAATGCTACAATAAACATAGGGTTGCGTATCCTTTTGAATTAGTGTTTTTTGTATTTTGGGAATGAATACCCATTAGTATAATTATTGGATCATAGGGTGGTTCTATCTTTAATTTTTTTGAAGGAACTCCATACTGTTTTCCACAGTGGCTGCACCAGTCTGCATTCCCACCAACAGTGCACAAAGGGTTCCTTTTTCTCCACATCCTCACCAGCACTTGTTGTTTCCTGTGGTTTTGATTTTTTTGTGCTTTTTTCAAATGACATACATAAAGAAAGGTGAGTGCATAAGAATACCTTATTTTATGGAGAAAGAGACAAAATAGCAGCTGTTCTACTTTTCTCACATTTTCACAAGTATTCTTGTGTTCTGAAATGTGGTGTCAGGTCTGAGCTACAACTCCTGTCTAAAATACTCAAACTCAAATCATTCAGCTGTGACAACCAGAGCACCAAATCTGATTTTTTTCAAAACGCAAATAGTTGAGATAACAGAAATAATTAAAATAGCAATCATTACAATAAAGATAATACTGGAATCTCTCCTTGTACAAAAAAAAGATGAAAACTGTTAAAAAGTCACATTACAAAAGCAATATAAAGATTTAACAAAAAATTGAAAAACACAAAGTATGTCAAAACTATAACCATCAAGTGGAAAAAGGAAATAAAGTGCAGATCATTAAGGTCAAAGTTAAGCAAAGCTGAATTCAAGTCAGAAAGCCCTTCATGTGTCTCGTTCAACATCCTCACTCTCAGAAACTTCCTCCTTGAGAAAGTAGAAGCAATCCTGAAAGACTGTGCTAGCCTCCCACCACCAACCTGCAACCTCCAACTCTCTCTCCTTACTGTGGTAGAACACTCTACCCAATCCTGAAAATTTCCTTCTTTTATTGAAAGAAAGAAGATCTCAAGCCAATGACTTCAAATTCCACTTTGAGAAACTAGAAAAAGAAGAGAAAATAAGTCAAAAGTAAGTATAACAAAGGAAATCATAAATATCAAAGTAGAAGATAATGAAACAAAAAAAAATTAGTACAGAAAAATCAGTGAAACCAAAAGCTAGTTCTTTGAGAAGATTAATATAACTGGTAAAATTCTAGTCCACCTGCCTGAAAACAAAAAGAGAGAAGACATGAATGACCAATATGAAGAATGATAGCAATAATGTGTTGCTGAAAATGGCAGGATTTCCTTCTTTTTTAAGACTGAATAACATTCCATTATAATTAATCCTTACTTCAGTATACATATCAATAACATTTCAAGTGATTAAACACTCCCTCCTCTAAAAAGTACATTTTTCCCCCATCACTCTTCCAAGATGCTCCATCTCAACTTCTGTGAGTCCCCTTCCTTGTGTGGCAATTGCAGGCTTTCAGCCTTTGGACCCATTCTGGATTTTACCCATACTTCTTCTCTTAGTGATCTCTCCCACTACCAGATTTGTACCTCCAATCTGTACTTCTTCCCCAAAATCCAGAGTCTTGTATACAACAGCGCATTCAACACTTTTACTTGAGTATCTAATCAGAATCTCAAAATTATGGTGTCCCACACAGATCTCCTGACATTCTTTCCCTCCACAATTGTTTCTTCCTCATTGCTCACCAGCTCGTAAAATGGTAACTCCAGTTTTCCCAGTCGTTAAGCCAAAAACCTTATAATCATCCTGACTGCACTCTTTTTCTCACACCCAGCATCTGATCCAACAGCAAAGTCTTTTGGCTCCATCTTCAAAATACACCCCAAAGCGAACCACTTTTCATCACCTCCTTGTTAATTCCCCAGTGCGGCCACTGTCTTATTTCACTTGAATTATTACAATAATCTTCTAATTACCACCCTTGCTTCCACTCTTTCAGTATGCATTCAACATTCAGCATTACATGTCCGCATGATTATAGATCTCCAGTAATCAGGCACAAGTTGCTAGTTTTTGATAAAGGCCCCACACTGCTATCTGGGAGTAATTGTTTTCAGTCCTGTCCTCTGGTCTCTTGGTTATTCGCTCTGAGTTACCTTCCCCTGCCCCCCATCCATCAAAAACACACACCCCATAAAACATGGCCTGTGTTTACAGCTGAGTGGTTTTCTGAGCCTGCCTCTAGTCCATAGACGTTTTGTATCATATTGTTCAAAACATGGCCTCTTCATTTCTTACTGTCTCTTTCAGTCTAGGCTTGTTTAATTTCTTCAAAAATGTTTTGGGCTCTTTACGCATCATTTTGCCTAACACTTTATTGAACAAAAGGCACACTTCAAATCTATTGAACGTGCACACCAAGAAGGAACATCCTAAGAGCAGGCATTCCAAGACAGCCGGGTGCACACTGTGGAGACTTATATGACCTACCCTCAGAGCTTACACAGCCTTACTTCTGGCATACTCCACTGACCAGCAAAATCCCAAACCTGCCCAGGTTGAAGGAGATGGACCATGGACCTTATTGTTTGATGGGAAGAGTGTGAACAGCTTTGAGACTGGGTTTTACAACTGATGAAGTTTTACACACATGGTTTTACACCATGATGAAGCAAGAGCTACCCCAGATGCCTCCTGAGCCTGTCATTCTGGGGGAAAAGATTAAAAGGAGTCACAGTGAGAGTATATTCCAGTTTTTCTTTTCTTTTCTTTTTTTCTGTTTAAGATTTTATTTATTTATTTTATTTGAGAGAGAGAGAGAGACTGTGGGCAGGGGAAGGAGCAAAAGGAGAGGGAGAGAGAGAATCTCAAGCAGGCTCCATGCTGAGCACGGAGACCCATGCGGGGCTGGATCTCATGACCCTGAGATCATGATCCTAATTGAAACCAAGAGTTGGATGCTTAACTGACTGAGCCACCCAGGAGCCCCCCAGTTTTTGTTTTCTTATTTTAACATATGATGAAAAAGACGTGAGTTGAAAAAAGTATTTGGAGGCTTACTAGTAGAAATTAAAGGGAACCTAGAGAACACCTAGATATGTGACCCTTCTGAGGAAAGTAAAAAGCTTTTTGCCTTCTAGACCTCTCAACGTAAGAAACAGACTGAAAAAACCCATTTGTAACAAAAGTCACATGCATTTTCTCCATTGAAAAAAGTCATTCAGGTTTGTTGCCAAGATCCTATTAAAGATGTTACTTTCCCACCTACGCTCATTATTTCAGATGGCCACAAACTCCATCCTTAAATGTAGAGCTAGAGAATGGAGATCAAGAAAGAAAAGACTTTAAGGTAGGCCTTAGAATTACAGCAATAGGAAAGGATTTTGAATGTAGTCCCCAAAATGGAAACAAGTAAAAGGAAATAGTTCAGGAAACTTCTAAATTTTGAGGATTTGTATTGCTGGAGAAACTATTTTTTTCTTCTTCTTTTTTCTTTTATTTTCTTTTCTCTTGCCAGAGAAACTAAAAGCCAAGATAAAAAACCACTTACCTTAAATAAACTTTAAGCCCCTGAACTGGACCATGAAGTAGTTTGAAAGTAGTGTAGCCCCAGGGTTAAATGTGTTTCCAAAGTCTATCTTAGATTGGTCCTTGAAAGAAGAAAGGGAAATAAGATCCTATCAGAGGGCAGAGCCAGAAACTGCGAAGAACTAGGGAAAAGGACATTCTCTAGGTAATAAAATCAGAATATTATCAAAGAATGTGCCCCATTACCAGAGCAGGAGACTTCACTAGCCCAGGGAAGCAGATTTTGTCAGTGCTGTGTTCCGGTGATGGGCTTGTGTATCTCATCGCTCTTGTTTTCCAAATGGGAGCCTGAATTGTGGTGACCCTGTGCAAGCTCCTCCATTATGTATTAGTATAGGAGAGGAAATAGGGGCTGGCAGCATTCCTTACAATGTATGGGTCGCCATAAAAAGCTACTCTCAGAAATCAGGACTTTTTGCTGGTTGCAATGACTGGATAACACTTTGGATTGCCTCTCGTGAGAAGTCAAGTGTGTATGTCCTAAGATTGGGAAGAGGAGTGTGCATGGTTATCTGGGAGCCAGGGGGACAAGTTCTGTACAAAATTCATACCCCACCGATAGAATATAGAATCATTGCCAGGAAGTAAAAGCCCAACAAGGAAATTGGTTTTTCCACCCTTGTTGCATGTAATTGTGATCATGTGACTAGTTCTCAGCAATGGTGTGTGATGTTTCACTTTTAAGCCAAGTTGGTGAAGAAACATGTGTGAACCCTTCACAATATTTTTCTTTTTTTTTTTTAAAGACTGTGTTTATTTTAGAGAGAGAGAGACAGCATGAGCAGGCAGGGCAGAGGGAGAGGGAGAGAGAATCTCAAGCAGACTCTGCGCTGAGCATGGAGACTGACCTGGGGCTCCATCTCATGACCAGAGATTATGAACTGAGCTGAAATCATGAGTCAGATGCTTAACCAACGGAGCCACCCAAGCGCCCCACAGTATTTGTCTTCTTCCTACCACCTTGATGCAAATGAGCATAGCAAATTTAAACCACATGTGGAAACCCAAATTGAAAGGAGACTGGGTCTCTTCATCACTGCTTGGAGAAAAGCTGTCTGGAAACAGACATCACCGGGACATTACACAGCTGAGAAGCACTTCCTCTTGTGTAAATTATTTACATAGAGGTAATGTGTTATATCAACTGGAATTATCTTACATAAAACAATTTGTTATAAAAGGCATGGTGCAAAATTTACCTGCATCAAGGATATGAGGATAAGGGAGTTATTGGGTTGTACTATCTGATTGATACAGATTATTTCTCTTATACTCAGGCATGAAGCCCAAGTCAAACACATAGCCCTCTATATGCAATGTAACCAAATACAATAAATCTAGCTTTTGAAAATTGAATCATACAAACATTGCTTCTTCTACCCAACATAGTTATTTAGCTTCTCCTAATTTTTTTTACTATTATTAAACTCTTATTTATAGTTCCTACTATTTTTGACCGGCATATGTCAAATAAATCTCTACTCTCAAAAGCTATATAGTATCTTAAGTAATAATGAATAACTTCTGTAAGGTAAAGACTTCTACCACGTGCTATAGGCCATGAAAGGTAAAATGCTTTTTATTATAAATGAAATGCTTCTATTTTAATATAAGTTAGAAGAGAAAGACTGATTCCTTCCTGGGCAACTGTGGAAAACATTTTAGAATGGGCTTTACCTTAGCTTAGTCAAGAAAGTTGAGTCACCGGGGCACCTGGGTGGCTCAGTTGGTTAAGCAACTGCCTTTGGCTCAGGTCATGATCCTGGAGTCCCGAGATCAAGTCCCACATCAGGCTCCCTGCTCAGCAGGGAGTCTGCTTCTCCCTCTGACCCTCCCCCCTCTCATGTGCTCTCTCTCTCTCTCATTCTCTCTCTTTCAGAATAAATAAATAAAATCTTAAAAAAAAGAAAGAAAGTTGAGTCAGATTGTGATAGGCAGAGGTAGCAACAATGTGTTTTAGGCAAAGAAAATATTAGTGGGCAAAGTATAGGAAGAGAAAAATGAAGATTACTGAGGATTTTAGTGGTTTGAGCCTCTGCTATTTGGCAAAGACACTGGGAGATGAAATTGAGACAGAAGATACGCCAGATCACAGAAGAACCTTGCATCCTGAGCTAAAAGCTCTTTGATTTTATTGGCTAAGCTTTGTTAAGCAATGGGGAGGCACTCCCACTTATTTTTCCCTAGGGTAGCTGCCCCCCACCCCGAATTGATAGTCTTGGGAGAGAACATAGATAGCAGAAATAATGGGATTGTAGAACTTAGAAATAAAAATCTTGCAGAGGCTTTTCCCCCCAATTTAGGGCAAACCAAATAATTATTTGTTTGAACTAAATCACCTGACCCGGGCAACACTGCTTCCTTGTGATTTTAAGACTTTGGCGAACTTTCCCCTCATATTGTACTGTTAGCAAACATTTAAGAAGCTTCTTCGGATGGTTGTAATTAAGCTTCAAAGGGAGCAGGCACAGCCAGACATTTAGTTGGGCTGAAAGTATTTCTTTTTTTCCATTGTTACCAATGTGCAATTCACCCTAGCTTGTTTTCCAGAGGGTGAATGAATTTCAATTTAGGGTGGTAGGAAAAGTCAGTGTGCCAGCAAGAATTTTTATTACGGTCTGATTCAGAGCTAGCTCTAAATCACCTTGGGCCACTGCACACTCTGAAAACACCATGACATTTCAGGAACTACTTGGTCCTGGCCTGTTTTCAGGGCTCTTCAACCATCTTGATCAGGTAGCCTGTGTTTCAGCCTGCAGAGCTATTTGGTGTTCATACAGTCAATAGTCTTCCCACACTTGTGTCTGTTTGCCTGGGTTTTAGTTCAGTTGTACCTCTCTCCCTGTGGCCTCTTCTTCTTCTCAACATCCCCCGCCACCCAGTCTTACTTTGCCACAGAACTCTTAATTATCCTTCAAGACTCACAGTTGTGCAAGTGTATTTTTTTTTAATGAGCTGATGATACTGTCTTAGAAAAATTAATCAGATCTTTATGCATTCATGGCACTTCAAAAACAAGGTATTTTCTAGAATGTTACTACATGATACTTGTATGTATCTTACTTGCTAAACTGTAAGCTCCTAGAATACAGGGATAACGCAATAGAAACCATTGAGGAACCTCAGCTTCAAAGAGTGACAGAGAAGATTAGGAGGCCATTTAGATAAAAGAACCAAAAAATTAGTAAGTAAGGAATGTAAGTGAAGATGAAAACCGTTTGTACTTTTTCATTCAAAAAATATCAGTAGGAGAATTTAAAAGAGAATAAGATAAACCCCTGTCTTGCTTTCAAATCATTATAATCTCGTGTTGTAGATAAAGCTACAGAACAAGACTCATCAGTCAGTAACATAACATAGCCATCCAGTACCGGTTTCTGTGGAACAGTTTATAGAAGTTCTAAGAAGAAAGAGATGAATGACCACAGGGGTGATCTCCAGCCCTGACACCTTAAACACTTTAACTGATGAATTCAATACAATCGGTGAAGGTGATGCAGTGATGACCAGCCAAAATGAACAAGATGAAACGTTCTCTATATGTCAAGGAAATAACCAGAAAAGGAGAGGATAATAGATAACTTCATATTTAAAGCATGCTTTCTACATCTTCATTGAAGTCAGTTACGAAAGCACTGACTGGGACAGTACTCTGTTCTTCCCAGGTGTGTTAATTCATCCATCAGCATCTTTTTGTTTGGTTGTTGAACCAGTTAAAGGAGTCTGCTCCTAATTCTCTGTCCCTTCACAATTACAGCCTGAGAGACTGTCCCACGCCTTGCCACTGTTTAGTCCACTGCATCCACTCTATACCCACACCTACCAATCTAGTTACCTTGTCAAAGAAGGAAACAAGGTGACCCTGACCTTTTTTTAGGATGCCTAAGGAATAGTGTCACCCTTTCATAGCGTTCCTAAGTTTACGCTGTGGTAATCTCTTCTTGAACCTTATCCAAACTGATGTGGAACTATAACACTTAAGTTTAAAAATAAGACATTTGAGGAGGCTTAATATGAACACACATGCAAAATTCAACCGTAAAAGTGAATTCATGAAGAAATACACGAAAACATGAAAAAGAAAGAAAATCAGGAAGACAGAAATCTTTGAATGAAATGGAAATTTTCCTGATACTATATTAAGATTCATAACATCAGTCAACTTCCAAAAGTGTACTTGATAACTTAGTTTGATTTCTACTGGGGCTAAAGTAATATAAAAAAACATAATAGCCTTGGTCATAATGAAACGGGATATGAAGGGAGTGTGGACGGTGGAGCAAAGGCAGTGACTAGAGAAGGTTATATGAATTGAATAGAGAGACAATTGCTGCTCAAGGATCAGCAGGTTACAACATCTGACTCCCAATTATGATTGGCAGTCTACGCATTCTTGCATGAGAGTCAGTGATTATTAAGATGTAGTCCCTCTATCTTGCTAGGAAGCAGGTAAATATATAGGGGTTTATAAGTGAGGTTTACAGTCCTGTTGAACTATATCTAGAGGAAATCAAAGAAGTGAAAGAAATGATAGTAAACTAGACAGCAAATATCTACGTGTGTAAAAGAAGCAAGAGAATAGATTTTGAAAAATGTTGGCTACAAGTAACTAATGATCTCCGATGAATATATAATGCTAATTTTTTAAAAATCTCATATGTATTTTGAATAAATGCGGAGTAATTGCTAAATACAAGACAAAGATTTGGAGGATAAAAGACTAATAAGATACAGATTCTGTTCACAAGGAACATCTAGACA